TACTTTGCACAACATAATACACAAGAAAACTGCTTAATTTCATATTGAATTTTATTCATTTTACACTTACATTTTGTAAAAGCTGAATAAATGTTGTATGACTCGAACGATATGACGCTAATACTAACGATTGTAATTAATTAATTACAAATATATTTTACATTTTTATTTTAAATGGTATATTTTAAAACCAATCAAATTGCAAGCAAATAATTTACAATAATATTTAAGTTTTTATTGTTTTTATTACAAGTATTTTGAGTGATAATAATTGTGCTGTTTCAAAAACACAATGAAATTTTAATGAGAAGAAGGAAAATTGTATTAAACTTTAAACCATATTAAACTTTTCGATTTGTAACAATGGCTTGCATGAATTAACAACAATTAGATTTCTATTTATTAGATTCTTTACAGGACATGTTGGAAAGCACGCCCACCAAGAAGCTTCCACTTTGGCAGGCACATGATTACTTCTGTCAATTGTTGGATGGTTTAGAATATCTTTATAGTAAGGGAATAGTCCACAAAGATATTAAACCTGGAAATTTGTTATTAACCCTAGATGGTACCTTGAAGATTAGTGACTTTGGTGTTGCAGAGGTACAAACTCCATATCTTTCAACTTTTTATTTTATTCAAACTTTTTATTAATTTAATTATAAAAACCGATAGTTATAATAATGAAAAAAATATTGATGAACAGAGTATATTTATTTAGAAAAACTGTTAAAAATACGAATACAAACATACATTGGAACAGTGCGTGTTTCATTTCTATTTTGTGATTATGCCTCTTCACTGTACTAGGCATTAGACATGTTTTCCAAAGACGATACATGTACGATAGGTCAAGGATCCCCAGCATTTCAGCCACCAGAAATCGCGAACGGCTGCGAAAGTTTCTCAGGTTTTAAAGTAGACATATGGAGTAGCGGAGTTACATTGTAAGTAACGCTTGTACACGACATTATCCAAAGATCAGAATGGTATATCTATATATTACAGGTATAATATAACCACGGGTTTATATCCTTTCGAGGGAGATAATATATATAAATTATACGAAAACATTGGAAGGGGTGAATATACTGTACCGAAAGAAGTAGAGGAGCCTTTAAAGTCGCTCATAGAAGGAATGTTGCAGAAAGATGCGGATAAGAGATTTACATTACAACAGGTAAAAAGACACGCGTGGACCATGTGTGAGCACCCTAAAACACAACAACAAGTACCTATACCGCCCCTTAAAAGCAATGGCTGCCACAGCATGACTGTCTTGCCATATTTGATGGAGTATCATTACGGAGTTGATGAAAATCCCATATACTATACGGAACATCAGCTGAATGGTAGGTTTATTACGTTTGCTGGTAATATGAATATTTTTCCTTTTCAAAAATAAGCTCGTTTAAGAAACTATTTTTCAGTAACGCGGCGGCAACAATGCAAAATTTCAGAATGATTGAACTATCTTTTTATGAAACACATAGAAAATTTCATAAAAATTTCCTTTTTTTTAGAAGAGCGAAGACTTCAAGAACTAGATCGCATTAGCGAGGATCGAAAAACCACGTGTAACAGTCATCACACCAAATGCAATACAAACAGTCAAAACAAACGGAGATGGCGTAAGCCGATTTCATGCATTAGTATTAAAAGATTTCCATCCTGCAAGCCATCGTGATTTTGTTAATTGTGTCGCATATTTTGTTGTTTGTATCTCACTGACTGTGTCAGTTACAAAGTTTCTCTGATGGAGATGACTGAAAGCTTAAAGAATGAAAAGCATGCGAGACACATATGTAATGTAGCTAATCTAGCAGTGTGAATGGGACACAAAACATTTGACAGAGTCAGTTCAAAAGTGTCGGATGTAAAGATTGTGATATTAAGATTAAATCGTGTAGCGAATAATTCAGTGACATCTTTATTGATCGTTCAATGCCTAGGAGATGCCCAATCAAAGTCACATTTCATTTTGGTGCCATATTGACAATGCGATTAATAAAGTTATTAATCGTCTGTGTTTAACATTTTATTTACCGTAAGATCTCCAATTGTACCTTTGTCTTTAGTAAGGCCTAATAAATCTAACTCTTATGAGGCCAACTGGACATGATCGAACGTATGTAAACAATATGTACAAATGTATATTTCAACTTGTCATTCTGTCTAAGAGCATTACATTAGGAAAATACAGTTGAGTTAATTAATTATTGAAGCGATAGCACAAGTGATTCTTTTAAAACGTTAATTTAATTTCCATTCGTTGAAAATGTCTACGTGTTTCTATTTTACAGATACCATCTACGAGATACTATTAAAGACAACCAGTCTTATGTGAGAGAGAGAGAGAGAGAGAGAGAGAGAGAGAGAGAGAGAGAGAGTTCGCATTACTGTTAAAATTTAAGTGATTAAAAGTAAGAAACTGATAATAAAGTATTATTTTATGATTTATTAGTTTCATAGATATGATAGATAAAATACTCGATTTTTATTAAAAACTGATTTTAACGTTATCATCCAAGTTTGATTATCAATAGAGATAATAACTGCAAAGAAAACAATTATAATTTTACGGCAATATATATAAGATATAACATTATAAGTATGCATACTTATTTATGGAGTTTTTTATGAAAAAACCATAAATTTAAATTAACAATATATACAAATATTTATTATGAATACAAATTATCAATTGTCGATAATATTAGCGTTCTTTAATTACTTCTGGGATTTCGAGACTTTTTTTGTATGGACGAAAATTATTTGTCCAGAGTTAACGATTTTCAATAGTATATTTTTATTAAAAACTAAGATTTTAATATTATCGTCAGGGTTTGATTTAAGGCCGCAGCACACACTCTTGCATAATGCATAGTGCATAAAGGCTCGTCTACAATACACGGAGTAAGAAGTAAGAGTAAGAAATTGACCAATCACAGTCGATTATTCTTCTCACATTCGACTAATGTGTGGTCTACAATGACAGTAGCAGTAGTGGATTAGGTTATAAGAGTAAGAAATTGACCAATCACAGTCGAATGTGAGAAGAATAATCGACTGCAATTGGTCAATTTCTTACTCTTACAACCTAATCCACTACTGCTACTGCCATTGTAGACCACGCATATAATTGGTCAATTTCTTACTCTTACTTCTTACTCCGTGTATTGTAGACGGGCCTTTAAGGAATCAACTAATCACAATTCTTCTTTTTCATGGAATGGGAGGAAAGAAAAGATTCTGATTAGTTGATTCGTTTATGCACTATGCATTATGGTTTATGCAAAAGTCTGTGTCGTGGCCTTAAGCCGTAAGTCAGAAGTTCTAAGCGATCTTAAGTCATAATCGGTGAAGTTGGCCAATAGCCAACTTGAATGACTTGGTTAAGACTGATTAAGACTTCTGACGTTCTGACTTGCGGCTTATTGTAGAAGGCCTATAAAAGGCCGCAGCACAGACTCTTGCATAAAGGCCCGTCTACAATACACGGAGTAAGAAGTAAGAGTAAGAAATTGACCAATGACAGTCGAATGTGAGAAGAATAATCGACTGTGATTGGTCAATTTCTTACTCTTACTTTTTACTCCATGTATTGTAGACGACGCCTTATGCAAGAGTCTGTGCTGCGGCCTTATAGGCCTTCTACAATAAGCCGCAAGTTTCATGTGTGAGAGCCCTTACAGTCAAATAAGAAGGGAATACTCGACTGTAAAGCGGGGAGCACAGACTCTTGCATAAAGCATAACACGTAATGCATAAGAATATGTACCAATCGAAGTTCTCCGTTTCTTTCCTTCCATGTAATAGAGAACTCTGGTTGGTTCAATTTCTTATGTCTCATGTATTATGCGTTATGCAAGAGTCTGTGCTTTCCGCTTAATTGATCAATTCTTACAGGTTATGACCAATCAATGGCCGCGTTCAGCAGATTCAACTGTTGTGGAGCGGATCCGTGAACGCTCGCTGCTATTGGATGATCTAGAAGAATACACCAATAGCAGCGAGCGCTCACGGATCCGCTCCACAACAGTTGAGTCTGCTGAACGCGACCAATATAAATGCTCCTTAAGGGTCGACAGAAGAAAGTGTGGAGACTGATGGAGACCTCTAGTTTTTCAAGTGCGATGAAGTGTGACGTGTTATATTTCAGGTTATAAGAGAAAGAAATTACAAGTTCAATTAATTTCCAATAAAAATATGGTTTTTTTGTCGTTGAGTTTTTTAACGAGAGCCCGCGGACCTGACGAATTTTGGCGAAAACGGAAAATATTTAAACTTGCCGCGGTAAGTGATTTATCACGATAGATACTTCTAAATGTTCTTGACCAAAACACATCAAGAAAATATATGGGAAAATTTTTAATGTTTTTAGCATTTTTATGGTAGAAGAAGGAATTGTTACAGCATAGCTATCAGAAGCGTACATCGAGCTCTTACATACAGCACTGTGGGCAGACAATTGAAAAAAGAAGATATGAAAGAGGTATTATAAAATTGATCAACACTTAAGAATAAAAATTGTATGTATACATGTATATATGTATACATATAGAATTCATTTTTCTAAAATTTTGTGCTCTTTTTCTACTTTCACAGTTGCGGGAGCAAAGATTAGGAGCTGCTACGAGTGAACATGGTATAAATTTTACGATCCTCAGGGAAGGATTATCAAGATGTAACATTCTATTAAATCGAAAATCACTGGCTGACTTGGCGATTTGGGAACCTCGATCTTTCAAAGCCATTACGGACATCGCGTGTACGAGAGCAAAACAAGATCATTTCAAGACTAAGTTGAATATTCAAACACCAAATAATGTTTTTGTAAGGGGTTTAATTAAATAATTTTTCATAAGTATAAAATGACAAGTTTCTTCCTTCTAACATATTTATTTGTTACTTTTGAGATATTTTCAAGTTCATGTTAATCATATTTGTATATCAATGATACTACAAAAGTCGCTAGATACACGATTAATTTTTTTTACGATACGTCATTTTCGGCACCATAAATACATCTAATTACAAGAATCAATCATGTACAATCGTGTCCGATAACAATACAACATTGAGTAATCTTTAGTAGCTACGTTGCAAGAGCTCAACATGTTAAATGAAAATAGAACTCTCCTTTGTGATATTACATTTTATCAGAATAGATATATATGTTCAAACGGAATAGGCAACTTATTATGCGTACTCCGAATAAGAATAAATTTCATCTGATATAATCTCAAATATGTCTGTTTCATCAACAACATGTATATTCAACAACGAGCATTGACAATTTGTACAAAATCAGGCTTGAGTGACGCGCCACCAACCAAAAATCCATCGATATCCTTCTCTTTTGCTAAGTCTTTGGCATTGGCTGCTGTCACGGAACCACCATAGATAATTCGTAAAGTTTGCGCAACATTGGAGTTGATGTTCTTGGACAACCACTCTCGTAATTTTTCATGAACCTCTTGCGCTTGCTGCGGCGTCGCAGTTTTACCTGTACCGATTGCCCATACTGGTTCATAAGCCAAAACTACGTTGTCCCAAGACTTAATTTTATCCGCTATTGCTTTGGTTTGCCTATAAACTACTTCTTCGGTCTTTCCTGCTTCGCGTTCTTCCAATTTCTCGCCTATACATGCAATCACCTGAAAATGTCAAAAAATATTTTTTTCTCTCTTGCTTTTATTGTAATTAATCATGTTGCATTATGCGCGTTATTTTTCTACGTATAATTTATGTCAATACTCTGACCATGCATATATATATATATATATATATATATATGTGTGTATATATATTTAATAAAATATAATATTTATTTTTATATTTACTTTCAATCCAGTTTCTAAAGCATGTGCAACTTTCTCTGCAATTAATTCGTCCGTTTCGCCGAAAACGTTTCGACGCTCTGAGTGGCCAAGAATTACCCAGGGAATGCCATTATCCAGAAGCATAGCTGGACTAATTTCACCAGTAAATGCTCCTTTAGCAACTTTGTACGTATTCTGCGCACTGACACTAACATTGCCAGGAACGATGGAAGTCACATACGTAAGATATATCGCTGGAACGCCAACTACAACCTCTATAAATTACAAAAAATACAACATTATTCTTTCAATTAAAAACAGACTGTCCATACCAAGAAAGACTAAAGAACTTGAATATAGAAATGGAACGAAATGATACATTATGTAATCATAGAACATTGCTATTAGATCCTTGGATGTAAATATCTGAAGGTAACTTGACAAAATTTTGGAATTTTAAATATTCATTTTACTTTTTTTTTATTTTATAATTATATATATTTTATTAGTTTTTTTTTACTCGATTGAATTTTACCGCGTTCGTAAATTTGCGATTGCAATTTGAATAAAATTTTTGTAAATAATACAGGTGTTGATTTTTGCAATACGAGAAACGTTCTGTACAGGGTGACTGGCACGTACCAGCATTAGGATCGAGTGGACCAGTTTTCAGGAACGCGATGATGTCACCGATCTCGTTCTTTGTGCCGTTCATCTTCCAGTTACCGCCAACAAAGAATTTGCGTCCCATCGTTTGTCTCGTCTGTACGCCTCGTGACAACTGATACTTATGCAACGTGCGAGCTGCAACTAATCTTTTTTTTCGTCGAACACAAATCGAAGTTTGAACTCGATTCTTTGACCTATTCGAACCTATGTAATCCAACCTACTCTGACCTTCGCGCGCACACCAAGGTGAACAAATAATACCCCACCCATGGTGGCTCCACCCAATTATATTTTACGTATGTACATATTTGTGATAGAAATACGACTGGATAATTCTCTTTATACATATGTTTATGCGGCTATGTAAATTGTGTGGATATACCTTTACAGCTGACGACCACATTGTAGAACAGCCATAAAGCCTATTCTACAATTGCGTAAGCGTAGTTGGAGTGCTTTAGTTGAAAAATTCACCAATCACAGCTGAACACGAAAAGAATATTTGACTATGATTGGTCAATTCTTGCAACTACAACCATTTACAACTACGCTAACGCAATTGTAGAATAGGCTTAAATCCGATCTACAATTGCGTAAATGTAGTTGCAGTTGTAAGAATTGACCGATCACACTTGAATACGAGGAGAATATCCGACTGTGATTGATAAATTGTCACAACTACGACCATTTACAACTGCTTACAAAATTGTAGAATAGGCTTAAAGTCTATTCTACGATAAGTCATAATCCGTTAGAAATTAACCAATCATAGTCAATTATTTTTGTCATATTCAACTGTGATTGGTCAATTCTTACGACTTGCGACTATTGTAAAACAGGCTTAAGGCTCTAAAAATTTTTTATTACCGGTTTCATTGTAGAACCTCCATAAAGTATATAATCTAAAGTTTAATTCAAGATTCCTAACCTCTCACTAGCTTGTTGACAGTATCATGTAAACAGTGATAATTTATAAATCAAGATTTTCTTATCAGGAGGTAATTATATACTCACGGTATTTATAATATATACAACCGATAGAATGTCGGAACGATATCTCATTACGAGCCACGTATGCGTATACAGCGTTCGTTAATATAATTTTTATTGACATTGTAAAATCTGTTAAATTTTCGTAACGAATGATAAAGAGTGCCAACTTCTTTCTAGGTACATACTTCTCGCTTGAAACTTATAATAGCTAGCTCTGAGTACCTATTATGGATCCATAATTTCGAAGTGTTTGGAATGGATTCCAATCGGAATTATTCAATTATTCCCTAGATTTCTATTGTGTTTTCTGGGTTAAACGGAATAATTCCGATCGGAATTTATTCCGACGTGTTTCTTAATAGGTATCCTGATAATTCTGATGTTGATAGCGATGAGAATTCATCATATAGAATAGATTTATCGACAATTTAGTTCATTACTCTTTGTTTTTATTATGAATATAAAAGATTTTTTTCCAATGATAGACTTCTATTCCGAGTCAGCTCTGTCGATAAAAATCCTTCTGGAATTTTCTAAAATTTGAGAAAAATTGTATACTCGGTTATTAGTTACAACCCTTCTGTTTTAGAAGATATCGAGAGATGGCAAGCGAGGAAATATATAATCGAGAGGCTAATAAAAAACTGCAACCCATATTTAAAAATCGTTCGTTTCAACAAAAATTTCGACAGACTAGCACCACTGGGAAGAAACGCACTTGGCGATCGCTAAAACAAGTCTTGGCTCAAGAACGTTCGTTACCATGGCCAACGGCAATAAAACATTGTATGCGTCGAGTGTGACAAAATTTTTATTTCCTCTCATCATTGCATTTATACATATTAGTCGGAAAAAATATTTAAACCATAACGAGACATTTTCATATAATCTGCACGTGACTAAGATCAAAATAGTTTCGCGACGTGTATTAAATACAGAGAGAGAGAGAGAGAGAGAGAGAGAGAGAGAGAGAGAGAGAGAGAGAGAGAGAGAGATTTTAGTATTTAAATTTGTTTTCAGATAGTTCCATCAACGCACCACCGAGCTTTAAACCTGCAAAAAAATACTCTGATATTTCTGGATTGCCGGTGAGTAATCCAGAGAAACGGTTGCTGTAATATTTATCAACTAGTCAACGTTTAATCAAGCTTTTCCTCGATGCTGTAAGCTCGTAAAGCGCGGTAAACTAATTTAAATAAACAAATTGCATTTCATTTATAGGCACGATACACGGATCCACAAACTAAATTGTATTATGCCACCGCTGAAGAATTTGCAACGGTTCGCAGTTTACCGATGGACATAACAGCCGGATATTTGGCTTTACGCGGAGCGTCTAGTATCGTTGGTTAAATAATACGATACTCGACATTGCCTAGCAGTCGTGACTACATCTTGACCTATATATCGTCTGGCAATACAATTCAATCATCCATAATCGTTACAAGAGTTTACAATTTATATTTTAAATATATAAACATCTATACATTTCACAATATGTTGCTTTTAACATCCTCGAGTTTCCTTCTCGGTCACATTCACGAAGAACAGGGATACATCGATAGGGATGGAGTGTTAGACGGAACGATTCAATCGACAGAAACAGAGTAAATAAAGTATCGATATTTTTCTCAGACAACATATAACATTTTCATGTGATGCCAATTTACTTTGCAGGATTTTCCAAAATGAATAATTCCATACATAATTTTGGTTATTTTCATTTCTTTTTTGTTCTTATCTTCTTTGTGTTACTTTACATAGTACATTATTAAAAAAGCTTGTCCATTACAACTTAGTATATGAACTAGTGGCTAATAGAGGGGAGAGACCTGCGGAGGACCTTCGAGAGCTGTATTACTGTTCATCGACTGTTGCCGCACTGCATCTTTACAGTTTTCTTTTTTTTTTTCAGTCCAGTTTACGCGCCCCGTTTGCTACTAGCAACACGGTCATTTTAACAAATTTGCAATTGAAGATACAAACAGCAAGGCCTACTGAAATATTGCCCGTTCGTGCACTATCCTTAGGTTGCCATTTGTCTTTAATGTAATTAATTACTTGATCGATGTGATTATTTTTATCGTTTTAGTCATATAAATCGGGAAGATCTTCATCATCGCTATCAGCGTCGTTATCGCCTAATTCATCCAACTCGTCAAAATTTGGCTTGCTATCGCCCGAGCCGCTTAGACCACCCATCTGTCGCATCATCTGCGAGATCGGGAAAAAAGTATATGTATCAATTATTGACAATATCTTGATAATTTTTGGCTAATACATGTGACATTTGTTCTTACCTCTTCTAAATCTGGCGGGTTACCTTCTTCGTCAGTATCGTCCTCATCCTTCCATTTATTGAAATCGCTCTTTAACCAGTGAGCCTTTGTTTTGTCTTTAATTAATCGTGGCCAATATGGTCCCTCTTCTTTCTTAGCAAGAATCAACTCAAAAGTCCTGCCCTTCAAATTTTTGATGGTTTTGCTGGGCTCAATTTCTTTGTACAGATTAATTGTAATTTCATGCATTTTTTTATCTGTACCTCCCTCTCCTTTGAAGTATATCTTTTCTGGTTCAATTTCAATAACAGGATCTTTACAATCTTCTAAGCAGATAGTAACATATAAGATATCTTTTCTTTGAGCCCACATGACTGGGGGAGGAGGTATCCTAAAAGTCGAAAAAGGAACGAAAAATATTATGTATGTATGTATATAATGGCTGTGTTTAACAGAAGCAGCTTTGTAATTGTAGCAAAATTCTTTAATATGATTGGTCTTGTCTTTAAGTACTTCTTTAATGGATCTAAACTAATCATATAAAACAATTTTGAACACAATTGCAAAGTTGCTTTTTCTGCTGAATGCAATCAGGGTAAAACTCGAAAAATTTTAAATATTCAATTATTCTAACTAAACAAGAACTAGATATAAAGAGATATTTCAATTTGAAAAAGAAAAGTAAAAAAAAGATTCTGTTATTGTGTATGAGTCTATAATCTAAATAATTGAAATTTGAGTTGAGATGTTCAGACTTGATCGCGGAAAAGATTCGACTTTTTTCTTTTGATATACCTCTCGTTCTCAATTCTGACCGGAGTTCTACAATGAGCAGGTAATATATTATACTAGTATATAGATTATATTAGTGCGAATAAAATATATCATAATTTTTAGAGTAACCAACACTACTCGAAACTCCCGTATTTACCATTTCGAGTATTAAGTATCCTGAAAAATCCACATAAACGAATTCCCACGTGTACAGTGCGTATTCTATGTACATAAAGGACCTGTTGTACCTTTATAGGTTAGGGACAAAAGCTCAATGCTAGCTTGCGACGTATCGTGATTTATTCGAGTCGTAAGTGCGCTGATATGCGCAACATACGATATCATGCGGCGCAGCGACGCGAAGAGATTCGCTTATCGCGTTAACCGTTGCAAAACGAAAATGCGAGTATTTCGAAGAAGCGAATCGTTGGTCCCTGCCGTTGTCCGGTGCGACATCGTTTCGATTCGTACGAAAGAGGCGGAGGAGAGAAAAGCGAAAAGGATACGACGACGCGAGACGGAGATTAACGCGAGCGAATAAGCGCGTCAGGCATTTTTGTTTGAAAGAAAGATTGCCGCCATGCGGTTAGGTCGTATCTCGGTCGAGAAACTTGGAGAATCAATAAAACCGTCTCATCAACATGGCGATGCTACGGAAAGCACGGGGCGGCATTTATACAACCGCGACAGTTATTCGTGGCTATACGCGGACACGCGGCCGCGGAGCTCGTCATCGGACCTGACGATGCGAACCACCACGCCAATTTATGTCAATCCTGGAATACTTACTGGCTTTCTTGCGTCATGCTTCCAACAGCTTCGCTTGCAACGAGAATGAAACAAACACACAGCGCACGTAGCGCTCTCACTCACGCTGGCACCGCCGCGCGCCGAGCGCCGCCCGTGGCCGCTCGGCGAACCCGATTCGAGATTCTAGATTGTTCGGCGTTCGCGCCACTTCGAGATCTCGTATCGTTTATTCTCATGAAACTTTCAATCGATGTGACTCGATTGGCAGCTTGCCAATCTGCGTTTTGCTCTCCGCGATTTATCTACCTAAACATACAGGAAAAATATTTTAAAAGCACGTTGCTGTTTTCTTCACGATGTGATTTAATAAATTTATTATTTTACAAGTTTATTTCTTACAGTAACGCAAAATGTTTCGTGTATCTATTTCATTCTTCTCGCCGCGAAAGAACGTGTAACGAATTAATTGTATTATAAATAGGCCCGTTCTTTTTAGCTGAACTTTTCCACCGGTTCATCTTTCTTCCTCTTCTTTTCCCTTGGAGAGAAAAGGAAAAAAGATGAACCGGTGCAAAAGTTCGTAGCTAAAACGAACATGCGTAATGTG